CCCTCCCGGGCCCCCGGGTCCGCGTCCCCTCCCGTGCGACGCGGGGAGGGCAGAGCTCCCGCTCGCCCGGTCTCTGAATCGCAGGTTCTGGGCGCAGCCTGCCCAAAATCTGATTTTTTTTTTTTTTTCTCTTTCCTCTCCAGGGTCATGGAGTTTTTGCCTCCGTTTCAGCGCGTGGTACAGCCTGAAGAGATGTGGCTTTATAAAAACCCCTACGTAGAAGTGGATCACGTACCCACAGTACCCATGTTTGTAAGTTCAGCGGTTTCCTGTATTTACTTGGTCTTCCCTCTGATTGCAAACTATCCTTTTAAAGCAAAGCTACTAGCTAAAAGGCTGTATTGCGAATACCCGTAGTTCTTAATGCACGTTACTGAGAGCGCATTATATTACTTCAAACTGGACAATATTTACAGTCATTTTTGTCATTTATTTAGGCTTTGCCACCCACGGTTGTCTTTGGGGTTTTAACGAAGTTTATAAAAACTAGCAGGGACTTTTCACTGTTGTTCATAATCAATTTCACGTCCCGATCACTAGGACCATGGAGGACAGCATATCTCTCGTTATCAGGGAACGCTTTGCTTTAAAGTAGCTATTTTCAGCAAAGTTTTATTATAATTTTATTGTGAAGATGTTTTCCCTAGGTCTCTAGGCTCTGTTAAAAGGGTTTGATATAAAACTGTAAGTGTTGGATTTCAAGTGGACAACAGTCCGTTGAAGGGGTTGTCTCCTCCTCTGAAGCAGGGGTGTTTCGGTGAGATGCTGTGGCTCCCGGGTTGGGCGAGCATCCACTTTCTCAGCAAACAGCACTTTTGATTTTCTGCGAGAGTAGGCACTAATCGTTAAAGGACAAAACCTTGGTGTAGCGTTTGGATTTGGCGGTGTAAAGCACGACGTATGCCAGACTTCAGGTGGTAGCAGACTCCTTGGGAGCCTGTCAGACACACTGGACATCCCCGGGGTGAAATCCCGCAGCAGCAGTCGCCGCTGAGATGTTGTGAATGATAACTGGTTTTCTCTGAATCAGCGGCTCCTGTATTTTTTGCTGACAAGCGGCATGGGCGCTGCTGACAAAGAGCTAATCCTTGTGCTTGCAGGGATGGGGAGAGTTGAGGTGCTGTGGCTGATACTGTGAAGGGATACCCGCAAGCAGAAGAGGAGGGAGCTGCAGGCAGGAGTGACGTGAAGCCAGCCAAAGCAGCGCTCTCGTGCCAGAGGTGCTATTTGAGAGCTTGAGGACGTGCTGGGCTTTTCTCAGAGGAGGGAAGGCTCCGCTGCTCTGCTGAGCGTGTGCGCTCAGTGGGCGAAGCGGGATGCAGAGAGGGGCTTTTTAGTGCACTGCATTATTTATGCCGCCTGGGTGGTTTTTTCCTCATGCTTCGGTACAGACAACGTCCAGCGACCCGTGGGCTTGCTTTTGTACGTGAGGCGCTGCCACTGGATGACAAACGGGGGGACTAGCCGTGCTCTGGGGAGCGCAGGGTTAGCCAGGGTTTGCTGCAAATACAGCTGGGGTTGGTTTTGCTTTCTGATGGAAGCGTAATTGCCTGCGGAGAGGACAGGTTGCTGCTTGGCTTTGGGGAAGGAAGGTGTAGCCTCCTTGAGCAATTGCTGTTGTGTTCTGGTGAGAGTGCTTAAATCTGCTTCGCTAACAGACACCTAACGAACTTCTCATTTTGTGGCAGTTCATCGCATTCCTGTCTCCCTTATTGCTCATTGTCCTGGCAAGGGTGTTCATGAATGCCGACCGAGAAGACACGCGGGAAGCCTGCCTAGGTGAGCTCCTTCTTATCCCAGAGAGCTGCAGCCCCCCGAGGGACCTGCCCTGATGCTGTGAGCCAGGGCCCTCACAGATGAGTCCTTTGCTCTTGCTGGGGCACAAGTGTTGTGCCAGGGGTATCAAAGCCGAGCTGTGTGGCTCCAGCTGAAGTTTGAGCACTGCCCGTGCCTGAATGTGCCTCCAAGCTGCGCATTCAGGTGGGGGTGATGCTGACGTGACCTCTCTGCTCTCTCCTAGCTGCCAGCCTTGCTCTCGCCCTGAACGGGGTTTTTACAAATGCCCTGAAGCTCATTGTGGGGAGGTGAGAAACTGGCTCGCGCCGAGCTGTGCCGTACGGGGAGGGGAGGCACATCTGCACAGTGGTAGAGCTACAGTAGCAGGAGCAAGGGCCAGAAGCTGAGGTTGGACATACTCAGCCTGGAAAGAATGTGTTTTTTCTAGCTGTAAAGACAATTAAATGTTAAAACAAACACTGGCGGGGACCTGCTGTCTCGAGGCATCATTTAGATGGGCTCGTTCAGGCCTGTGCCAGGGAGGAGCACTTTGGCATGCATACAGGGAGCGGATGGGATGGTTTCATCTCCCCGAGCCATGTGGTCAGGGTAGCAAAACGTTACCTGTGCTGAGCTGCAGCCTGAGAGGTTTGCTCCGGTGTGCCCGCAGGCTGTGCAACCAGGGCATGTTGAGGCCACATGGAAATTCGGTTCTTGTAAGGCATTTGCTCCACCGGGCTGGACGGGGAGGATCAGCACAGTGCTAATCCTCAGGGGCTAAACCAGGTCCTGCCTAAGCAGCAGTGGGGCCAGTGAGGGTGTGCTGCTGCAGCCTGGCTCTCGTCTGCCGAGCCCTGCCTGCCCAGGCAGGACTGGAGCTGGGCGCGATGCTCAGTTTTGCATTCCTCGCAGCCTGGGTCGCGCCGCCTTCCCTTTGTGCAATGGAGGGAGCTGTGCAAGGTGGCTGGCGACTGCATTCGGACGTGGGTGCTCCGTGGGAGGGCTGGGTGCTGGGATGTCTCCTGAGCACGGTGCTGGGAGCACTGCACGCCCGAGGGCTATGTGCTTTGTTCTCTGTTCTAGACCACGGCCGGACTTCTTCTATCGATGCTTCCCAGACGGACGAGCAAACACGGAGCTGGTGTGCACAGGCGACCCTGGCATAGTGACTGAGGGACGCAAAAGCTTCCCCAGCGGACACGCTTCGTGTAAGTTTTCCATGTCCCCTACCCACTGCAGCCCCAGACAATGAACCATGGTGAGCAGAAGTCCGTGGGGAGAGCAGCTTGGGTTTGCTTTCATGCACCCCGTGGCTTTGGCTACATTCATTGGCCTGTTTGGGGGCCCCAGCTTTCCCTCTGCAAAGCAATGGGGCGACAAATGTAATCTGAAGCTGTCTGTTACTCCTGGGAGGAGGGATGCTTGCCAAGTACCAGCTTGTATGGCTCCTCTATCACTCACGAGCTGGTGCTTCCCTTGGCTCATGTGGGCAGGACAGACACCCTCTTTCAGACTCCCCTCCACTGCAGTAGGGGAGAGGGTGAAGGTCTGGCTGAGGGCCCACAGCACAGCCCGGAGCCATTTCTGAAGCGACACGCTTCTCTTCCAGTCGCCTTTGCTGGTCTCTCCTTCTCTGCCTTCTACATAGCCGGGAAGCTGCGCTGCTTCACTCCTGGCCAGGGAGGCAGGGCTCTGCGGCTCTGCACCTTCCTCCTCCCACTGTTCCTCGCCACCCTCATCGCCGTGTCCCGCACCTGCGACTACAAGCACCACTGGCAAGGTGGGTCAGCGTCTGCCTCCAGACCTGGACGGGGGCCACGACTGGGTGCCCTGAGCGGGGGCACTCTGAGCGTGGGGAGGGTCCATGTTGCTGCAGCGGAGTTCAGAGCCCATGATGGCAACTTGGGTTTTTTGATTACTCCTCCAGTGGTAATTTTTTTGCTGCTTGCAAGGTGATGATGCCTTTCTCTTTGTTTTTGAAATACATGCCAAGCTCAGTTTTATAGCCAAGGGTCAAGTTGCCGATGCAGCCCAGCTCTGAGCAGGCTGAAAAGCTGCCTGCTGGAGAATTCACTGACGAGGATTGTGAGGGTAAAGGGAAGTTATCTCTCTTCTGGTCTTGCCCGCAGATGTGTTGGTTGGCTCAGCGATCGGCTTTGTGCTTGCGTACCTCTGCTACAGGCAGTATTACCCTCCTCTGATGGACTCCATGTGCCACAAACCATTTCTGTACAAATCCAAACAACAGCTGGTGCACCAAGAAAAGCCTGCAGCTTCCAGCTTTCACCTAGATATATAGCGATGGGCTCTGTCCTGCCGGCACCTTTCCTGCTGCTCCTTGAGCGCTAGGACAGGAGAAGGCTTTGGGGAGGTTGGTCTGCAAGAAGTGGCTCAAATGAGGATGAACCTGAAACCCAGGCAGGCGTTCTTTGCAGTGCTGGTAAGTTGTCCTGCTCAGGGGTCTGTTGTTGCTTCATTAACCAAATTTTGTAGGCGTCCCTCCCTTTGGGCCTGCTGTGAAGCGAGCGAGGCACTCAGCGTGCAAGCCTGCGGGAGGACAGCCCAGGTACGAAAGGTCCTGAAGCAAGAACTGGAAAAATGTGACAATCTGGTGTGCCCCGTTCAGTGGTTGTTCTTGTGTCCGGTCCAGAAAGCGCCATCAGCCATCTCCTTTCAGTCCAGCCGAGCTGTCCCATCTCTTCTCATGAGAAGCGTACGTTGAAATGAAGTGCAGGACCTGCTCCTGGCGCCCGGTTTAAGTCCGTCTTTTCAATCGCAGCTGAGCTAATTTGGAGTAATGAGTGCGAGGTTGCAGTCCTTAACCATGGATTAAGTGGGGGAGAGGGAAGATGAAACTAGCATGATCGTTATTTGTATTATTGTGCTAGCCCTGATTTTTTCTAATTTGCCAAATAAAGGAGTTTAATTTTTTTAATGAGCTGTGGTACTAAAAGCTTTACTTCAAGGACTGGGTTTATTGCTGTATAAACCATTTCCTTTAGTGTATCTGCAGGGGTTTCTAGGTGGGTGTTTATTTTGTATTTCTTTCCTTGCAGCTTTAATACAGTTGTAAAGAGATGACAATCAGCAGAAAATGAAATGGTGTCTGAAAGCATCCCTTCAGAGGTGCTTGTTTCTCTACACCGTGGTTTCTTTTCTCAGACAATGGAAGGGTAGAGTGCTGCTGAGAAATCCAAGGCACAGCTGTATGGCAGGACTGTTGTAAGTAGTTATTTGTCACTAGTCTCCTCCATAGATAAGTGTACTCTTGATCAAGCGTATGTACATGCAAACAGCAAAGGCGAAGCTGTAGCAGAGCGAGGCACGTGTGCCTCTGCCAACCTCAGGGCATGACAGTAATGAAAACACCACCCCATCGTCTTCAGTTTGGGCCACGTAAGCCCTCTATGACCCTGCAACTTCAATAGAAGTTACAGAAATAGCTTTACTTTCCCCTAAAATTGTGCACATGTGAATTCTTCAGCCCCCTCCCCTCCCTCTCCCCCCAAACATGCACACACCACAGTCATCTACTTATTTATTTTGGCTTTTACTGGAAAAGACATTAAATAACATTTAAAATGTATTTAACTTTTTTTTTTTTTACAAAGTGCATAACTTAAAAAGCTGATCATGAGAGTGTCCCGTAAGACTGTTCCTTTTCCTACTCTTGTAGGAGACACTTTAGCAATCAGTAGTTCAGGCGCCGACTGAGCAGCTTGTCTGTTTCTGCAGTCAGGTAAAAGAACAGCTTCAGTTCCTTTGGGATGGGAGGAGGGTTGTAGGCTGCAAACAAAACCTTTCAAATAGTGCAAATAATGTAGTACAACGGAGGACAAACAAACAGGCTGTGGAAAAAAGGCTCCTTACCCCATGCAGGGCAAAAGTCAGTGGGAGGGAAAGTGGTTTGGCTCTTTCCAAAGGCTGTCACAGCAACGACCTTACACATCGTGGAAGCCTCTGCCTCTGCCTTGCCCCGAGGCTCCCGCCTCTCATGAGAAGCGTACGTTGAAATGAAGTGCAGGACCTGCTCCTGGCGCCCGGTTTAAGTCCGTCTTTTCAATCGCAGCTGAGCTAATTTGGAGTAATGAGTGCGAGGTTGCAGTCCTTAACCATGGATTAAGTGGGGGAGAGGGAAGATGAAACTAGCATGATCGTTATTTGTATTATTGTGCTAGCCCTGATTTTTTCTAATTTGCCAAATAAAGGAGTTTAATTTTTTTAATGAGCTGTGGTACTAAAAGCTTTACTTCAAGGACTGGGTTTATTGCTGTATAAACCATTTCCTTTAGTGTATCTGCAGGGGTTTCTAGGTGGGTGTTTATTTTGTATTTCTTTCCTTGCAGCTTTAATACAGTTGTAAAGAGATGACAATCAGCAGAAAATGAAATGGTGTCTGAAAGCATCCCTTCAGAGGTGCTTGTTTCTCTACACCGTGGTTTCTTTTCTCAGACAATGGAAGGGTAGAGTGCTGCTGAGAAATCCAAGGCACAGCTGTATGGCAGGACTGTTGTAAGTAGTTATTTGTCACTAGTCTCCTCCATAGATAAGTGTACTCTTGATCAAGCGTATGTACATGCAAACAGCAAAGGCGAAGCTGTAGCAGAGCGAGGCACGTGTGCCTCTGCCAACCTCAGGGCATGACAGTAATGAAAACACCACCCCATCGTCTTCAGTTTGGGCCACGTAAGCCCTCTATGACCCTGCAACTTCAATAGAAGTTACAGAAATAGCTTTACTTTCCCCTAAAATTGTGCACATGTGAATTCTTCAGCCCCCTCCCCTCCCTCTCCCCCCAAACATGCACACACCACAGTCATCTACTTATTTATTTTGGCTTTTACTGGAAAAGACATTAAATAACATTTAAAATGTATTTAACTTTTTTTTTTTTTACAAAGTGCATAACTTAAAAAGCTGATCATGAGAGTGTCCCGTAAGACTGTTCCTTTTCCTACTCTTGTAGGAGACACTTTAGCAATCAGTAGTTCAGGCGCCGACTGAGCAGCTTGTCTGTTTCTGCAGTCAGGTAAAAGAACAGCTTCAGTTCCTTTGGGATGGGAGGAGGGTTGTAGGCTGCAAACAAAACCTTTCAAATAGTGCAAATAATGTAGTACAACGGAGGACAAACAAACAGGCTGTGGAAAAAAGGCTCCTTACCCCATGCAGGGCAAAAGTCAGTGGGAGGGAAAGTGGTTTGGCTCTTTCCAAAGGCTGTCACAGCAACGACCTTACACATCGTGGAAGCCTCTGCCTCTGTCTGGCCCCGAGGCTCCAGCCTCAGCCCCCCAGCCAGTGAGTCAGCCTGGGTGGTTTTGGTCGCAAGGGGGGATCACCGGAGGCTCTCTGGCCCCGTCCCCCCTGGAGCAGAGCTAGCACGCCACAGGCACCTGCAGACTGAACTGCCTGCAGAGCTGGTGTCGTTTCTTCCGTGGGGTCATTGGGACGCAGTGTCCAGAGCCTACGGATCTGGGCTCCGACTTCGCTGGCTGCATTTTGTGTATTTAAAACCAAGAACAATGACGAGCCTGGCTGGCATGAGGCCCCTGTAGCCACGCTGAAAGCCACACTGCAGCAGGACGGTAGTGTTGCTCCATGCCCCTGCAAAGCACAGGAGGGCTGCCCCCCCAGGCCTCCGAATTGCCTGGGCGCTGCTGAGGAGCAGCTGCTTTCCCCCAGTATAGCTGTAGTTTGATCTGGAGGTGAAGCTTTCCTCCTGTGTAGTTACACCTGGCCACTAGCTTGGTCCCACACAAGACGCAGGCAGCGCCTCAGGGAGGCCCTTGGTTTGTTGGCCGCCGTGGGCTGGGTGAGGATGCTGAGAAGTCACTACAGCAGGCAGAAGCGCCTGGGTCAAGTGCGCACAAACATGCCGCTCTCACAAGTTGTTTTATGGCGCAGTGCTGCCTGGCACGGCCCAAGGGTGCACACACAATGCAGCAGCAATTGGCTGGTAGACACATTCCTGCGCGCTTAACAGCAGACGCCTGTGGCCCTGGGCTCCACCTCCCAAAGACCGCAGTCCTCGCGCCTGGTGCTCTGTGTTACGGCAGGGAGAAGTCGGCAATCTCCTTCGCTCGACAAGGCTGCTATAGCTCTCTCCACGCTACGTGTTTAAGGCTTTTATTCCTCAAGGTCACAAGCTGCGAGTTTCCTCACTATGGCAGGAGCAGAGTCAGGCCCTCGATGTCAGTTCCTAGCCCAGACAGCTAGTCTGCTTCGGTGCTAGAGGAGCTAGTGTGATAACTTACAAGGTGGAGGGTTAAAAGTACATGTTGCCACAGGGAGTCACCGTGCAAGTGCTGTGTGTGCTTGAGTGGAAGTGTTTTCCCTTGATATTTTTTCCCCCGCCCCTACCCAAAATGGAGGAAAATGATCCTTATCTCCAGGTAGCAGCAAGTACTTGGGAAGCAGCATGCGGGGGACACAGCAGCAGAGGAGAGAGGAAGGCAGAGAAGAAATCTGGACTTTCCTGGTGAGTACTCGGTTGAATTGGATCTAAGAAAGCAAAAGGAGAACATAAGAATAGCTGCGCTAGGGCGGACCAAAATCCACCCATCCCCAGCAATTACCAGCGTTAGGCTTTGAGGGCAAGAAAACATAAGGATGCGCCTTACCCCTAGTCTACCCTCGGCCAGCAATTCGCAGCAGAGGGTGGAAGCACCCCTGCGAGAACCGCGGGGTCCACACTCCGGTTCGCTACCTGTCTACAAGAAATGTTTAGCCTGGGAGGCTTGGGAGTACGAGCACACAGCTGGTCGTTCCCTTGGTGGACTGAACTGATCGTAGCTGTGCACAGTTGCTGCTACCCTTATCGTCAGCAGCAGCAGTTTATTAGCTCTCCTCGTGTCTGATAGTGCTTATGTGCAGGGTAAGAGGAAAGAAGCCAAACATGCTGACAGGCCAAAGAAAAAACCTGACACAAACTCCTGCCTTAGGCACAGCGCTGTAAATAAGGAATATTATTCCCTCAGAGGGACCGATGTCCTCTGAGCTGTCCTAGGAAATGCGGAAGGAAGGTGTAGGCAAGATGACTTACCTCAAGTGGCCAGAACAGCACGGGTTGGTCATTGGCTTCCTGGCAAAGGCTGATCCAGTGTAATACCTTGTGTCTGGTAGATCTCCTTCAGAACCAGCAGAACGGTGTCTTCTGACTCCCTGGAGGAGGAGGACATGGGAATTAGAGGGGGACACTTCCCCACTCTGTCAGGACATCCGTGATGGTTATGGGATAGATGCAGTGCTCAGCAAATGCAGGCAGCACTAGACAAGGAGAACTACAATGGTCTCCTTCCTCTGTCCCTACCCTCCTGCTGTGCCTGCATTATAGGCAGGAGCATATCTTGTTTACTCAGTTAAGGCTTTTCTTATTACGTTGGCTTTAAAAATGATAGCGCTCTGCTTACATCAGACAGGAATTTGAAGCTTTGACAGTTATGCAGAAGCTTACCAATAGCAGAGATGCCCTTGTAGCGCAAATAAATACTCATTAAAGCTCTCTATTGGCTTCTCCTGCAGCACGTAGTCTATGCGATTCCCTCCGTTCAGCCTCCCCACATTAACGAGGGAGGCCTCTTCCTTCACTGCTGTGGGGGTCTCTTCTGGCTTTGTGTCTGAAGGAATGAAGAAGAGCAATGTGGTTCAGCCAAGGGGCACCAGCAGCCATGAAAGTACAACAGCATCACCGTGTCCTCCCTTCGCCCCACCGTGGGCTCTTGCAGAGGAGAGGCAGCTTAAGTGCTCGGTCCTTCCCCCCAGGGCTCTCTCTTGGGAAACAGTATTGCAAGAGACAGCTAGAGAAGGGTGACAGGCTTGGCAGGCTTACAAAGTGATGTGGTGTGCCGAGACCCCCAGGAGGCCGTTACTGACCAGGCAGGTTGCCTCTTCTCCCCCTTCATCAGGTAATAACAGGGGAAGGCCACAGCATTTGGAGAGCCAAGGGCATCCACAGCTCAAAGGCAATCCCTTTGCTGAGCACAGAAAAGGGCAGCAGTGCCTGGGTTTGATGCCAGGTTGGACACCTCGCTGGCGTGGCTGCAGGGAGCCCGAGCACGCTACTCAGTGGGCAGGTCGCAGTGCTGCATCCCCGGCTCCCCACCGCCCTGCATGCACCACCGACCTGGCTGCTTCTCCACGCCAGCCTCTGCCTCCGCTTCAGCGTCGGTACTCGCCGCCTCCACGGCTGGCAGGGGGGCTCGAGTGAAGGACTGCCAGGCTACCCGCAGGGACCCCAGCAAGTTGTTTTTCAGGTCCACGCTCATGCGAGTCAGCCCTTCTTTCAGCTCTGAAAGGCAGGAGGGGGTCGGTGTCGGGCTGGGGGCTGCAGCAGCTGCACAGGGCAGGGGGAGAGGGGCTGCCCTTTACCTTACCTAGGTGCATTCTCTTCCTGCCTTTGTGGTGAGGCAGCAGCATGGGCTCAAACTCCAGATCGGGGACGATCATGGGCTCAATCCTGTACGCCACTGGGTCAAACTGTACAGAGGAGGGAGACAGTGAGCCAGGGCTCATGCTCCACGCGTCTCACGCAGGAAGGCTCTGGTTCTTATACCTACAGGGTGGAAGATGTTGAAGAAGCCTTTGCAGGTGGGCAGGCTGTAGTTCGGGTTGATCCGCTTCACTCCTCGCACCGTGAGAAACATCCCGATGGGAGACCCAAAAGCGAAGAAGATGGTGGGCTTGTAGTTTAGCTGAGGATAATTTGCCGACACCTAGGAGAGAGGGAGATTCTGTTTTGTTTCATGAGACAAACTCCATGCTGGTGTTATAAGCACCTCGTTGCAATTAGAGCACGGTGCCGAGCTCGGTAGTTACCTGTCCTAAGCCAACATCCCGGTATTGGCAATTCCTGCCATCATCTGTGCTGACCGGGTCATGCTGAAGTGGGGACCCAGGCTCCGCTCTGCACTCCCCGCTGTGCCCGGGAGCTGCTGCGCTCTGGTCCTGCAGCAACACAACCGGGAAAACCTGCTAGCAAAGCTCCGGCAGCGAGCCCACACCACGGCCTGTCCTACCCTCCCCTGAGCAAGTACAGGAGGCAGCGAACTGCCCAGCATCCCATATCCTCCAGAACCAGGGCAGTCTTGGCAGCACCGTCCTTCCCCAGCCGACCACCTCTCTAGCTGGCATCACTAACTTCAGTCTCTACCACCGTTAACAAGTCCTCCTGCTCTGTGATCACCCTTACAGGCCATGGGATAAAGTGACCCTGCAGTAGGGTAACACCTGTAACACCAGCGTAACATGCAGGAGCAGCAAGCAGCTCTGTCGTCACGGCCAAACACGAGCCCGTGAGAGCCGCCTGAGCAAGGGTGGCCAGGAACGAGGAGGTCAGGGTGCTCAGGGACTGAGTCCTCGCATTCCAGCTAGCAGGGTGATCCTAAGTGGTGAAGGCTGGTCCTTGTCTTGAGAGCGATGGGATGTGACCTGGATGAACACAAGCCATGCAGAAGACAAACCTGCATCTCCGTCTTGGAGCTGATGTAATGAAGTATCTTCATTCTTGGTCCTAAGGGAATTCCCATTTCCTTAAGGTTTTTCTCTGTGCACAAGAACTGGAAAATAAGCAACGCAGGTATTAGTACAGGAGCAGAGAGGTGTGTGCGGGGAGGTATTTCTGCTCTCTGTAATTCTGTTCCTGCTGCACTCCTCAGAGACATTCCATGTGCGAGTGACTCAGTACCAGCAAGAAGTGCACAGGGCGGGAGGACTGGGAAGAAAAGCAAAGAAGAAACACAAGAGGCAGCAAAACAGGAGAGCTCCTTACCAGTGCTTGCCTGTCCATTTTCTCCTTCTCAAAAACATCACAATATTCGGACAGCTCCAGCTTCTTCAGGATTTCTTTTACTTCCTCAATACCCCTGTTGCTTGAGGTTGTCCTGGACCCCTGTGAAGAGAGCCATCAGGGATCATGCTTTTTGCTCACTTATTTTCTCCTGTGCATTTTGGAGACTCTCCCCCTTCCCCAGGCAGCCGCAGAAGCAGGAGGTTGGTGTGACGCTGCACCGGCACGGCTACCCGTGCAAGTGCTGAGGAGTACCCCACGGGTCCAGACGCCGCCGGGCAGCGCGTACCTCTTCACTGTGCTCGTCCTCTTCGGGAGCAGCCTTCTGGTTCGTCAGGAGGTCAAACAGAATGAGCGACCCTAGAAACCAGGTGCAGGCAGACAGAGCATCAGCATCTCATCGGGGAAAAGCCCCGAGCCATCTCCTTTCTGGGATGAAAGTCTGGTACCCTCCCTGCTCCCACGGTACTGTGACACTCACGGGACCTGCGGGTGAAACCCCTTACCCAAGCTGTGCCCCGCAATGGAGACCCCCCCTTTGAAGAGCGGGTTCCTCTGCAGGAAGAGCTGGTACAGGCGGTTCATTTCGGACGCCACCGTGTCCACGATGGTCTGGCAATAGGTGGAGCTGTTGTAAAAGAAAACGTCTAGGATGGTGTCATTGATGAAGTGACGAAGGCGATTGATGCTCGGCAAAGTGATTCGCTCCAGGTCACTATGGGGGGAAAAGAGGAGAGAGGGAACTGCAGTTAGAGGTGCCAGTGAACCCCACCACGTTTCTAAGGCAAAATATAAGTTCAGAGAAGGATTGCCACTGTCTCAAAGGACGTGTGTTGTTATCCAGACCCTCAGCTCATGCTGAGACCGAAGGTAGAGCATGGCCTGTGCTCTTATGTTCCAGGCAGGAGAAAGGAGCGTGGTCTTTCTTCCCCAGGAGCCTAACCTGCTCTCTCCCCTTCCTAGGGCACTGCAGAGCAGTGCTTGAGTGCAGAAACTGGGTACTCGGTTTCCAGAGGCCTTTAGCAAGGTGTGGATGTCCACGGTCCCTCCTGATATTAGCCAGGGAAAGGCAGAAGCCTTTCCTCTCCAGCTGGATGCTGATCAGAGCAGGCACCTGCTGTGCTCTGCAAAACAGGGCTGCGAAAAGACAGTGGGGACGGGGTCTGGCACGGAGGTGCTCTACGGGACCTCGTCTATCCTGCTTACCCCTACATGCTCACAGCCCTAAACACTCACAGCTCTCCCTCTGCCTGCAGTGGCCACCAGAAAAAACAGAGTTTACGCAGGAGGGGGCTGTCTGCACGCTTTGCCATTCCCACAGAAACTGGCACCGGAGGAGATGGCTGGCTGGGACACTTACACGTCCACGCCGGTGGAGTGGAGGGAGCTGTGCCAGTTCACAGGTAGGAACTCCACCCGGCCGATCTGCTGCTGCTCCTGGGCTTTCTTGAAGTGCGCTTGCAGCATGCTCAGGGAAACGTTCCTGAAGTCATTCACTGGAAAAGAGCATGAACATGAACTCTTACCGAGATCCACCTGGCTACAGGGCAAGCCTGCTGCACCAACAACACTTAATAAGATAAAAGAAAAGATCATTACCGGGGAAATCCCACCAGGGTCTTTAATCTGCTGCTGCTACCCTAAGACCTTGAATCTTTAACTACAAGATCAGGGGAAGGCTCCATGTCCTTACGTGTGTTTACTGGATTTCGCTGTCCTAAGCCTCCTTTCCACGTGGGCAGGGCTTTAACACAGCAGTCAGGATAAGAAAGGTACGTTTAGGAATTTAAAAAAAATAAATCTGTTGCGAAGATGCATGTGTTAGAAAGGGAATCCTAAGGGAAGAGATGAAGTTGAAATTACTCAGTTCTCGGGGAGAAAGGCTGATTTCCTTCATTTCAAATGGTCAGCAGCCTTGAAAATAGTTTCATCAGATGTACATATAGAAGAATAGACTGCATTAAAGCAAAGGTATATTTTATAGGAACTAAAGGCAGTCTGCTGTCAAAAATCTCAGCTCCCTTGATTTCTATGAGTTAAATCATGTCAGGCTTCCAGGCAGTTTCAGTGATCACCTCTCCTACAGAACTGAAGCGCTCTGAGCAAATAATAATTAACAGGTCAGACCAGAGTTACTTGGTTTAGGACCCTGTCTCAAATAATTGATCAACAGTGGATGCTTAGAGGAGTGTGTAAGACAGCGATACTTCTTGCACGCTCTCCTAACCTCCAGGCATTTGCAGCTTGGGGATTTCCTGAGCCAGAAGCAGCATTCCTGGTTTTGGTCCAAAATCACCCCAGAGGCTGCTGGATGGGGTGTTGCCTGTTAGACTTCACCCAGTGAGATTAACCTGTAGCAATAGACTGAACAGGTTACTAATTAGTTTAGCAGGTTTAGACAGTTACTTGGAAAATCTGTATCCGATTTGGGAGACTCACTACTTTGAGCAGCAGCAGAACACAGTGATGAAAAGTGGTTGCCCAAACCTTTCCAGATGGTAGGATTTAATGGGTTAGTGAGCGTTGCATTCACGCTCCCCACTGCAGTCAGCAGATTTGACCGTGCGCTTGCCAGCGTGAGTGTCGGGATGGATTGAATGCACTCTGACGGTGTTTCACATTGTCCATGCAGATGAGGGTTTACTGGCTCTGCTAAAAGCAGCGTATGGGAAGAGCACGCCGGCCGGGCTCCACACCTACCGCACTGGATGATGCTCCTGAACCGAATGTCGCACGCTGGGCCGATCCCGTGCACCACGAAAACCAGGTGATCAATTTGCAGCGGCTCTCCTGAGGAGGAAAGAAGAGTTCAGAGCACAGGCCCTGCGGGAGACATCACTTAACGGGGAACTGACCCGCTGAAACCACATGCTCTGCAGGAGAGTGGAGCCTCCCATACTCACCTCAGCCAGGTAAAAAGACCTTGAGTTAGTGCCTGGATTTTATGCCTAAAGGGTAGTGGGATTTCTCACGTTTCTGAACTGTTTGTCCTACTAAATTCAGCTGCCCACCCTGGGATGGATCCGGATTGACAGGACAGTAGAGAAGGGCGAGGCGGCTCGTCCCCCCTTCTGTCACCATTCTCACTTCAGCGGGAGTGGATGGTCCTCGCAGTTCACACCCACCCGGCCGTGGGGCACGTTCAGCACAGGAGAGGCAGGGCCAGGAGGACTCGCTCCAGCTGCCCTGTGCCCAGCCTGCTCTGCTGAGCCACCCGGCCCCGGCGTAGCTGCATCTCTCAGGTAGGCACCAGGTGGAGTTATGTCTTGTTCTCTACTTCCCACACACTTTAGTTTGCATACGTACTTTCCTGAAGGCATGCACGCATGGCAAATGAAGGGGTTAGATGGGAGTAACTGCCTGTCCTCACCACGGGGACAAGTCCTGAGGCCTGACTGGGAGCTCAGGGACAGCTGGGAGGGGGCAGAGCTGACACACAGCTTCAGAGACGGGGAGAGCACGTGCGCCAGAAAGTCACCTGCATGTAGGTAAGTGATAAACCCCTGCGTCCTACCTCGGAAAGAAACTCCTCCTTTACGAACGTACACGCCAAGACCTCAGGGGTGATTTCAGGTACTACAGTGCTTTCAACAGCTCTGGTCTCAGTGCAGGAGCTGGAAGTGCACCGCCTTTTCCCCATGTGTCTGCCTCCTCTGTGCATTTGTTTACACTGCAGGCTCTGCTGCTAGGAAGGTTTCTGAAAACCATCCAGTTCCTTTTGGCACAAAATTTTTAGATGTGCCCTTCATTTAAAGGATCGTGGAAGCTTCTGTCAGTCTTTTAGAGAAAGCAGGTCGGAAAACAGACCCTACAGCTTTGGATGGGTGGAAGGGAGGGAGAAGCGAGCTCACCATTGGGGATCTCGGCAGCGATGTTTTCTACTCCTCTCTTCACAGTCCGAGGTCGACCTTGTTCCGTAGGAGTTGAGCCCCAGTCATCGGAGGTGGCAACCGGATGGTAGTGCACCATCAGCTTGTAAACAAGAAGAGCCTGTCATTAAGCTGCACCGCATACCACGGTTAAGCAGAGGAGAAATTTTGCTGCAACAGCTGGTAGGTGATACGCGGTGGTACCAGACCGCAATGTTTAACAGCGCTGGTACGAGCCCTTTGCACAAAGAGCATGAAAGGTGTGTTGAAAAGAAACGTTAAGGTGTGGAGCAGACTCTCTGCTGGCATTGCCCTCTACTCTGGCGCAGGTAGGCGAGGGGAATGCCGTTTGGACGGAATTGATTTCTCAGCAGACGTGGTTAAAAGAAACAGCATAAAGCCAGAGCATAAAGACGGGCCCTCGAGAGAACTGAAGGGATGTCCTTCCCGGTCAATACACCAGGCCCTCCTCACCTTTGGGTTGTGCAAGATAATGATTTCCCTGCTAGGGGACTCCAGTTTCTTCTTCCACTCATCCAGGGTCACAGCAATCATGTAAGCTTCCTGAGGAGAGGAACACCCTCTGTCAGTCAGCTGAAGGTATTCCATGAATATTCAACCACTTGGGACATTCCCCACCCATTTTACGGTATCTCTTATCAACACACTTTGCGAAAGAGGCAGAGAAATCAGCCAGGTCAAGCTGGAGGAGCAACAGGGTCATCTGAGTATCACCTGCTAGAGAGTTTCCAAGAAGCCCCCACTTTAATAACAGCAGCAGACTTCCCCATCAATTTAGAATGGTATTTTTTCATACTTCAGAATACAGATTATTGTAAAGTTGTCTATTTTTATACATAAATCTATATATCTCTACATATATATCTTTCCAAAGAAAAGTCTCCAGCCACTAACAGTACAGACCACTGAAGTCTCTAACACTACATAGCGTTCAGTGGGTCCCTGTAACGATGATTTCTCTTTCTTGCATTCACACCTCCCTCGGCTTTGGTGAAACTATGAGCATAGTGAGGATGACTCTCACAAGGAGAGTCAATCTGAAGTTAGAGCAGACAGGGTCAGGAAAAAACAGACCAAAGCTGCTGGAGCGAGGCTGCAAGCAAGGCCAGAGCTGCAAGGCATGCCGAGACCACCCGGGCACTTAAACGTGTAGCAGAAGGGTGCAGGAGGAAGGGGAGGCCGCCCAGCTACAGCAGGCTGGGAGGGAGACAGTGGCAGTGCTTACAGTTATGTTAATCAGCTGCGAAGACGCCACACCAAAGCCTCTTTCGAATTCATGTCTTCAGGCACAGCTGTGGTGCCAGTTGCCCCGTACGGAGTTTGGGACATCGGGGCCAGTATTTGACAATGAGAAGCCAAGATGCTTCTCGGCAAGATGGATACTACCAGGAAAGGCGTGTTTACCTCCAGTTCTTTGCTGAAGGTCTCCGAGTAGGGGATATACTTATTGTCCTTGTCTCCCTTGTAAAACCAGGTGCAGCGACGTACTTCAGATACCTCCTCCTCCCAGTACACTGCGACACGCTGCCTCTTCTTCAGATGCACATCATACCTACCCCCCGATGTTGGGACAACCAGATCTTCTTTGTCTCTCCCTGCAGGAACCAAGGCCTGAAATTAATCGCGAGAAGACCAGAAAGGCATGCTATGAGAAAGCTGTATACCACGCCAGAACAAAGGGATGAGACTGGAGCATCTGTGGGCAGCACACATGAGCATGTATGAGCAACGGCAGTAGACACCAATGTTCTCCGTACCCAAGCACAGAGAACAGCGTCAGCGGGCATCCTAGGAGAGATGCCCCAAGTCAAACTTCCCCCAAAGGCAGAAGGTAAGATGAAGGCATTAAGCTACAACTTATCTTCCTCTCTAGTTCACGCACAGGCTTACATGGACTCTTCCTGCCTCACTTAGATGGCAAAATGTGAATTTGTGGCCCTGGGAAGTGCATTGCTTAACGGTGGAGGTGCGGGTCTCCGGGTCTCTAAGCCATTCCCCTCTGAAGCGGAGAACTCTGCATAGATCCCAATACGGACTTCAAATTCTGTTCGTTCTGCTGCCTTTTTGGGTCTGCCCGCTGGCCAGGCTGCCGGCAGCGGGCCCCGTGCCAGGCGGTGCTCGGCTCGCGTGCGGCACACGAGGAGGCCTCTAATCCGAAGCTTCCTGGGAGAGGGAGGACGGGAGCAACCCTGGGGCAATCGGTGCTCTGCCCGCGGCCGCCGGCAGCAGCGGTGCTTTAACCGCAGTCCTGGCAGCGGGTTGCACGGGCGGGCGATACTCGGCAGCACGAGGGCCTCATCGCAAGTGGTGCCGCTCAGAGCAGGCCCCCGCCGCTTGGGCAGCACCCTCCGGGAGCAGGCAGGCAGGCAGAGCACCGCGCGTCCGCACGGGAGAAATCTCCCCAGTGGAATTTCTGCCATCCTCCTAGCACTCCCCCATCCACGCCAGAAGGGTGCTTTGCAGTATGATTATATGTAATTTAGAGAATTTATCAAATGAATGAGGTCAGACCATTCAATGCACCCAAACAGCTTAGCTGTTCATGCGTTTACAGCTCTAGGAGTAGGCACATTGCCAAAAAGAGTCCCAATTTAAAATTCCCAAGGGAAAATTTTGCATCCCATGTGGAAGCCATGGATGTGTTCAGGGAACTTCCCTCTGACACCCGGACAGTGTTTTCCTTGAGCACGCACCTGATGCTCTCCCATTGACCTTACCAGGCCAGTTCCGTACAGCGATTTTGAGAGCAGGGACTACGTATTTAAAACCAAAGGGCAATTTAAAAATAGAAATGAGAGGAGCTGAAGGCGAGCGGTGCCGTGAAATCCCCCAACCCGTGGAGGTGGATGGAGTTTTATCTGCGGTTCCTGACGGGGCAGCCCCTGCCCAAGCACGTTTTCACCCTACCTGAGCCGTGAGCCTCTTCCAGCCTCTCCGAGTCCTGCGTGCTGAAAGGGATCCATCGCTCCCTGGAGTCCGTGACCTTGCAGTAAAACCAGTGGGGAACAACCGCTTCGTATCTGTTCGCCGCCTCCAGCTCCGCCGGCTCCGAGGCGGCGGCGGGCAGGGGGGGCTGCGCCTGTTGCTGCTCCTGAGCGGACATGGTGCTCCTGCACAGACGGCGGGAGACGCGAGTGGGTGGCTTCGAAGGGCCTCAAAAACGTTTATTCCGCCTC